AACTGCAGAGAAACTGCCTTTCGGAGCGAAGAGGAGGAAGGAACGTTAAAAAATAATGGCTCGTCCCGGTTGCCACGGCACCCCAGGCACCCCAGGCACGTGCGAAACTTTAATGACTCTCGATCGACGACGCGATGCCGAAGGGGGGGCCTCATCGGGCCCCCCGCCCGTGTCCACTTGTGTGGCGTACCGCGCGAGATAACTCGTACTTCCGAGGGCGAGAAGAGTCGATGGCCGCCAATCGACGCAATCGCGATTGGCACACCGCTGAGAGGTCGGAAATTAAGTCTCCCGTATCGTCGCGTGTGGCACGCGTGCGTGTGCCGATGTGTGCCCGGAATGACACGTGACAGGACACGATTCGTACTGACTGCGTGTCAATAATGCGGTCTTCTTAATCGGAGTTTTGGGATTGAAACGTGATATTCCTCTTTTTAATATTGCTACAGCGTGTTACAATGTTTCTACCGCGTTACTTTAATTTTTACATATCCGTCTATAATCATTTTTATTTAAATTCTCTATCTTTATGTATATTTTTAAAATTGATATATTTTTTAGCTGCACATTTATATATACATATATTATGGCAATTCTGATAAAATTACTTGTAATTTTATTATTATGTAGATTTTATAAATGATATATCATATATGAACTAAATTTTTTAATTTTATAGAATCAATAAATTTTAGCCAATTTTATAAAAGCGCCAATAAATGACATATATATTTATTAAAGAAAATCTTCCGATACAAGAGTATTGTTATAGCATGTAATCAATAAATCGACGATCCGCGATTTTTCACCGTTGACAACGACGTCCATCCAAACGCAACTGCCAATCCTGAATAAATCAAATTGCTTCGCATATCACCCATATCATATAATCGCGACACGCGTAAACCGTTTCGCGTCAGTCGGATTAACTGACGGAAGATGCGCGGGCGTCCACCGTGATCGACGTCGACACGCAGGAGTGGCTCGATCTTAACACAGGGACGATCGTGCGTTTAATTGCCATTTCACGAGCTATTCCGTCTTTCTTGATAAGCAAGTCCGCCCACCAGTCACGGACATTCGCACGCCATCGTTTACCCCGTAAAATAGCCAATCCATCGTCTCTCTCTCTCTCTCTCTCTCAGAACGTGCGATCAATGTACCTTTCTCTCTCATACAGCCCTCTGCATTTTCCCTCTCCCCTGTTATACCTTTCTTGCCATCTAATGCTCTCTCGCACGAGGAAAACGCTTTCCGGAGAAGTTCGATCTGCGAAGTTTGACGGGCGAGTCGTAACTTTGGACGCGTTCAATATTTTCGAATCGCAGCACTTCGCCGAGCGGGCCCGGAGAAACTTATATATGTGATTTGTAGAGGCGGCTCCCCCGGAGGTGGGTGGTGGACCGGATAAATCGACTTCGGTCAATTTTTTAGCATTCGACGAACAATCGTAGCTCTCGTGGAGCTCTCGGCGCTTCTGATTGTATATCTCGGCACGGTTCCTCACTGAAATATTGATTCCCGGTTATCGGTTCCGTAAAAATTGTTATTAAATTCATGAGGGGTGAGATAGCGACCCACGGAATAATAGCCGTTCCGTAATACTTATGACAGATGAACGGTTGTTGTTTCTACGATTGCAGGGCTTTTTTACAGACAATCGTCGTATACACGAGAAACAATTACGCTTGTATAGAATTAATATATTTTAATATTGGTGGCAAAACAAAATAGAAACGAATTATTATTTGTGAGACAAAGTACCATTTCGACACGGATGGATTCGGCCGTCAGTGTACGTATCCCCATGGTACAAGTTTTTGTGCTCTGCCGGCAGCAGCGTGAAAGCCGATACATGTCCGCGGCTTGTATTTTGTATCGGCTTTCACGAATATCGGAGCGCCTCTCGTTGCTCGAAACTTGACGTTAACCGCAAATGGCTGGCAGATGCGAAGTTCCACCATTCGCCGACGGGACGGCGGAACAAAAGGAACGGAGAAAAGGACGATGGAACGAGGACGAATTTCCTACGGGCTAATGGGGCTCGTATTGCGTATCCTTTCAATCGAAAGTTCTCACTGATCCTACCTCAAAGTATCGCGAACGACGTTTCTAAAGAATCGGTTTCTATAGATATCGCGATTTCTGGAAATGCACCAAGAGATATTTAACATTTATAGTTTATAAAAATGTGCAGATTGTATCGCGTCTCGAATAAAATTTCACATATTTAATAGACATATTAATATTCGAAATGTACAGTCAATTTATCAAGAATACAACTATTCGAGTTGCGATACCGATCTGATTTATTCTCTCGCGGCGAGAAAATTTCATGGAAATTGATTGTGATTACGATATTACGGATTTTTGAACGGCGAAATCTAAAGTCAGATTTAATCGTCGACGTTTTAATAATACTTGATCGGGGAGGCAGTCTTACCGAATCTTTCTCGGCCGGTCAATTATTCGCTCGTGCATTTTTACAGGACCGCGAACAAATCTGTCGCGATCCGTTCGAAATCTCGCTAATCTGCCTCGCGTCCGGATCGCCCTGGGATCTTCAACTTTGCGCGACGTGCGATTGGAATCGAATGGCTAATTTTAGGAAAGCGATAACCGAGTAAGCCCGGGAGTTGATGGGAGTTACGGGACACACTCGGTCCGTTTAATTTCGAAGGCAATCAGAGAAAGAGGATAGGGATAGTACGTTGCCTCTATTTAACCGTCCGTCGATCCATCGCACGTCCTCTCAGCTTCCTCTCGCTCCCTCCTGCTCTGTACACGTCACCCTCCCCCCGCCCTCCCCAACCTGCTTGGTCGCTCTATATCAGATGCCCATCCATCTGGTCTCTTCCTTTCTCTTTGTCTGTCTGTCTGTCTGTCTCTCTCTCTCTCTCTGTCTCTCGCCCGGTCAAGCGGCACGAATGAAACGCTCGGGCAACATGACGTTAATTCGTTTCTACGGCAAGACGTATGATGCTTTCGATAATGGCCTGCTTCAGTATTGCATCCGTTCATTGGCAGTGTTGCTGTTGTTGTTATTGCCCTGTATATCTGACCTAAATTGCATGCACCGGATGAGAGAGCACGTTTTCAGTCGTAGAAATCGATTGGCATTGATATGTCTCGATAATAATCGATCTTGGACGAAGAGAAGGCGATTTTAGAGCACGTATATCCGAGTAAATGTTTTCCATGCGAAGAAAAATATGTAATCGAGTGTGTTATATAACAAATTCGGCAAATATAAACGATTAAAATGCCATACAACCATAAATATTTGTTAAATAACATTTTTAAAAAAATAACGATTGGCCGGTTTATTTTTTAAATGTTATTATTTAACAAACATTTGTATGATATCTGACGCTAGCTTGCTTGCGACATATATATACATTCATGATTAGAATTATATAAATGATAAGAGGGTGATCCAGTGGTTGACATTGAGTGGCAGTTGAATGTGCAAAGCTCGGAATAATTATTATTCGTATTTCAATAAATGAGATTCACATGTGTGGTCGTTTAATCGTATTTAAACATAGCGTAATTAGCTAGATTATTTAAACGTTTGTTGTAATGCTCTTCAAATTATATTGTAATTGAAATTTTATTCGAGCTAGCTGATGAACGATTTAAGCAAATAAATGTGAAATTTTGTCACTTAATCACGCTCAAAGATGTCAATTTTTGTCAATTTTTGTCAATTTTGGGGGAAAATTTTCACGAGTAACACACAGCTTTATAATAATGAATAAAGTATCTTTTCCTCCAAATAAATATTTATTTCTTCATGAATCGTTTAATCGTTGTAATGCACATTCCTTGCTTGTCTGTTACGATTGAATGCGCTAGATGTATCTCTACCTCTGGTTTGAATTACGGTCGCCGGATGCACAACTTCAATCATTTATATTGAGTGACATCAGGATACGGGCTCGTCTGATAATTATACTTTTAATTAAACGGCCTGTTTTCGCATCGACAGCTCGATGACATTGGAATCTCGAGGTCGAAGAAAATTTCCTGATTGATATTTGCGCGTACGACATAATTGTTATGCTCGCATACAAGGAAAGCAATCGAAAATCGATGATGTGCATCTCTCGATGCTTAGAAAAATTTTGTTAACGCTTTAACACATATTCTTCATGTACGAGGACAAAGTACAATGTATAATAATTGCGACTTGTTTATCGTAAAATATTATTGTGTAACTTGTTTTTCTTCATTTGTATGTTCTACTAATACAATCTATTTTGTTTATTAAATTGATGTTACCCCCTCACTATTGCATCGTCAATGGCGATGCAGTTTATGTGTATGATTCGAATTGCATGCATCGGATTCAAGATTGCTGCGATCGACGCTGATTGCTCCAGAAATTTCTGCTTATTACACTCGGGACTTAGCGAGGCATCCAGTAATTTCGCTTTGCGAATGCTAAACGTAATCATTTCCTTGTTCGAAGCGTTCGAACAGAGAAACGATTTTAGTTCTTAGAAGAAGAAAGTTTAAGAACTTTAGACAAAAATTACGAAAATAGCAATTCTATTCACAATTGTTGTCGACAGTTTATTACGCTTGAATTCGACAATATCATTCTTAACACACACACTGATGGAAAGAAAAAACTCGTAAAACATTATTACCGAGCTTCGCGAACGACGGCCAATGGATAATTAACGGATAATAGAGGGACGTTTTTTTTTTTTTCTTTTTATAAACCAGGTCATAAAGTTAAGGGAGATTGCTCACAGTTGATTCGCTAATGATCGATCGGCATTGTTCATCGGGCTCGCGGTCAAAAGAAAACTTATTACGCTTATTAAAGTCGGCTTCCGGCCCAGTTGCAGGGCGAGGGGAAGGGAGGGGGACTGTCGTCGGCTGTCACAAAAGAGCAACGTCGACGGCTAATTAGATAGAATAAGGTAATTCCACTTTTCAAGATAGAACAAAAACTAATCCGAAACCCGTCCTCTGCTTTTCTTTTCCAGGTGCGGAGGATGTGTTCAGGTTTACGGGCAACGAGACGCACACAGATTACTTTCGGCTGGTGCTCAGGGACGGGAACTATCTCCTGGTCGGCGGAAGGTAAATAGAGGATTCATTTGGAGCGAGTGCTTTAATTAAAGGGCCGCTTCTTCTTCTACTTCTTCTTATTCCTCTTT